CATGCCACGTCCTCGTTCTTGACGATGCATTCCTTGAAGCCTCTGTCCCCATCTCCGGACCTTGTCACGCAGTAGGGTAGAAAGAGGACGCGGCAACAACCACAACCAAAAAATGCTAAGACATGTGGTAGCTCTTGAGGACATCATGGCTACCACTGCAGAACTCTCAGCTGTGTCTGCTTCCCGCCCCCCGCCCCCCGAAATGTCACTGCTACTGCAGCATCAACTAAGTCAGTTCTCCATGGTAACTGCTTCTTTGTCTCTTTAGTTCTCAGGGTCGAAAGTGGCATCTAATTAGCTGAGACTGTGTCACCTGGCCATGCTCTAGCTGCAAGGAAGCTGGGCAAGAGAGTCATGCCTGAACTTTCTGTTTCCATGGCAGAAGAAAGACTGTTTCCCACTGAGACTCATATGATGGGGAATTCCTCCAACATAGGAAGCAGGGCAGAGTCTGAGGAAGAAGAAAGACAACTGCCCTCCATCCCTCCCCCATAATTCTTCATCATATCACCGTGTTTCCATCTAGTAGTGGCGTCTTTACTTGGACATTTGGTAAGTGTCTCAAACCATGGTCAAGATTCTGGAGCTGGACAACTTGGGTTAAAATTATGATTCTGACACTTGCCATCTGTATGATCTTGAGAAAGTCACGTGATTTCTCTGTGCCTCTCTGTGCCTCTGTTTCCTCGCCCATCAACTAGGAGAATAGGATTGTGACATGAACGAAATGAGTTAATATGAGTAAAGTGCTTACACAGGGGCTAATATGGAGTAAGCACTATGCAAATGCTTACTTTTCATTTTTATTAATTGAATAGATGAATGAGCTTTTCTAATACCAGGAGATGCAAAGAGGGTTTCACAAAGAACCGGGGAGGCAGCTCACTTTGGACAGCATTCTGTACTCAGCCATCCACCTTCGTTTTGTTCAGGTAGTGCTTCCATTTTCTCAATCAGACGATTTCACTGGCTTGTTTTGCTGCTTGGCGTCTGGAACACCTACCTCGGGTCGTGTTTGTGCCAAACTGCTTTGTGTTTTTGTGTCACACCTAAATATGGCGGATTTAGTTCTGACATTGGTCTTTGTGAAATTCATTAGGGCTGTGAGTGGAGGTGTGGTCTGTCTTATTCTGGCTTTTAATTAATTCAGCTTATTCATGCCCACACACTCCTGTGTGTACTGCCATTGTCCCAACATTGAAATTGGTGCACACTACTGCCCATTGCTCAGTCTGTGACTTCTCCTCGTTTTCATCTTGCAACCCCAGTTTGACTGTATTAAATTCTAAAACTCACTTCTAGTTTCTGGCTTTGATGGCCCGTTGTGGTTATTTTTCTCTAGCCTGAAATACCAGGAGATGCAAAGAGGGTTTCACAAAGAACTGGGGAGGCAGCTCACTTTGGACAACATTCTGTACTCGGCCATCCACCTTCGTTTTGTTCAGGTAGTGCTTCCGTTTTCTCAACCAGATGATTTCACTGGCTCGTTTTGCTGCTTGGTGTCTGGAACACCTACCTCGGGTCGTGTTTGTGCCAAACTGCTTTGTGTTTTTGTGTCACACCTAAATATGGCGGATTTAGTTCTGACATTGGTCTTTGTGAAATTCATTAGGGCTGTGAGTGGAGGTGTGGTCTGTCTTATTCTGGCTTTTAATTAATTCAGCTTATTCATGCCCACACACTCCTGTGTGTACTGCCATTGTCCCAACATTGAAATTGGTGCACACTACTGCCCATTGCTCAGTCTGTGACTTCTCCCCTTTTTCATCTTCCAACCCCAGTTTGACTGTATTCAATTCTAAAACTCACTTTTAGTTTCTGGCTTTGATGGCCCGTTGTGGATATTTTTCTCTAGCCTGCCACATATGGGTCTGAGGAATAGGTGAACCATCTTCTGCTCTGCTTTCAGAGCCTGCTGGTCATAACCTGGGTTGGCAGTTTCTGTAGACTGAATGTTTGTGTCCCCTCCCTCCAACTCATATGTTCAATCCTAACCTCTAATGTGATAGTACTTGGAGGTGGGGCCTTTGGGAGATGATTCGGTCACAGAGTGGAAATCTCATGAGTGGGTTTTGCACTTTTATAAAAGAGGCCCCAAAGAGCTCCCTTGCCCCCTCTGCCATGTGAAGACAGTGAGAATACAGCCATCTATGAACCAGAATGTGGGCCCTCACCAGACACTAAGTCTGCCAGCACCTTGATCTTGGACTTCCCAGCCTCCGGATCTATGAGAATTCAGTTTCTGTTGTTTATAAGCCACCAGTCTGTGGTATTCTGTTATAGCAGCTTGAACAAACTAAAACAGCAGGTGCCTGGAAGGAACCACAGTAGGGCTGAGATTAACTCTCCGTCTCTGAGAGATTTAATTACATGTGGCTGAACAGACATGATGCTCTAAAAACACTACAGAAACATTTACATACATAAGCCAAGGCTGGGAAAAATTTTCACTGCTCCTCAAACTCACATACCTCTCTTAAGCTAACAAATGAGCCTGTTTTTATTCTATGAAAGTAATGTATGCACATTGTGTAACACATTGAAAAACATAATAAAGAGAATAAGAATTATCTGTAACTTTGTCACCAAGAGATCCATGCCGAACATGTTTTGATTTCACTCTAGCCATTTGCCTATTCTCTCCTCCCCCATATATATATTTATAGTTATACACATCTCCATTCTCCCAGTATACTGAAGCTCAAATATTCCTAACTCAGGCCAATGGGGAATAATATTTGTGAAATTAGCTCTCTGATTTTCATAATGAAGGTTGCTTTACAGAAATTCCTTTCTGCAGCCATCTTTGCTGGGACCACCTGTTCTTTACAATGAGTGTGATAAAATGGGGGACAGAATTCTGCTCTTGGATTAAATAGAGTAAAATTGCAGGATATCTGAGGAAGGAAAAACCTTTTAAAACCTCTAGCTTTTCTTTCTTCTTCTTCTTTTTTTTTCCTTTGGTATCGCATGGTGATGCCCTTCACTCTGAAATCTTGGCAGATAATTATCAGAGACCCCTTTTCAGGTTCCCTGATGTCTTCCCTTCTGGGGCACCAGGTCCTACTTTTAGTAGGTGCCCCTCTTTCTTTTGGAGATAATCACATCAATTGGTCTCTTGTTCCAGGGGGATATGACCTAGAATCAGTTTTGTCTTTGAGAAATGAGGTCGCTTTCCTGGGGGAGGTGTCAGGAGAGAGTGGGAAGCCCCAGGCTGGGAGAGGAGGTTCTTCCTGGCTTTTCCTGGTCACTTCTTGCAAAGATAGTGACCCTGTGGGTAGGTGAAAGATAAGGACTGGTCCATATGGCCCTAGTCCCCATCAGTCCCCTAAAATGGTTCAGGCAAAGGTTATCCATGTCCTCCTGCAATTGACAAATTCCATTGTTTCTTTTTTGTCCCATCCAATTGCTCTCTAGGTAGAATTTGAAAATTTCAACCGCTTGAAACTTGAATCTCCTCCCCTGTACTTTTCACTCTTCTCTCTTTTGCCTCTTGTCTTGATCCTTCACTGGCTGGTTGTCTGCCACCCACCCCCTCAAATATAGTGTTCTTTAGGTGAGTTAGGCAGTACTGAAGATGGTTCCCGGTGGTTCCTTATTCCAGTCTTCATGCCCTATGTAGTTCTCTCCCTTTGTGTGTGGGCTAGATCC